TTGATAGTATTGAAGCATCATCTTTTTTCATACTTAACAATGAGAATAGTAGGACTAGGGGACACAAATATAAATTTTGGCATGGTAGGAGTCATCTTCAACTAAGACAGTTTCATTTTTCTGACAGGGTGGTTGGACTTTGGAATGGGTTGCCCACAGATGTTGTAGAGGCAGTAAATTTAAGTGAGTTTAAGAAAATGCTTGATAAGTATACGATTGATAAGGGCTGGCTTCAAGATTTTTTGAAAAATTATTTTAAGTTAGTTTAGAGTATGGAACAGCCGAGATGGACCAATAGGTCCCATGTTGTCCCAAAACATTATGTTATAATAATAATTGCTCAGCCTCTTTGTACTCAGTCTCTTCATCCATTCTTATGATGCAATTACTTAGAAATACAGCACTATTTCATAATCGATATCTTCACTGATTCTCCTGTTATTAAGTAGACCTATCTCATTGTGTACTACACAAGTAACAACTTGATAGGCCTTCCCAATGCAGTGAGCAATTTCTTAGCAAGCAAGTAAAGTACTGAATATTAAAAAAATAATAATTATAATTAACTCCTTAAACCCAAATGGATGCTACCAGCATCTGACTGAAAATCCTGATTTACCCATCAAACAGTGACAGTGTCTGAATAACATTTATGTCTCTTTGGCTGAAAACTAATCAAATCCATGTTATTATCCAGCTTTTAGAAATAGATCAAAAGTACAGTGAAGCATTATCATTTGTTCTGAAACAAATTTCAAATCAATGGTAGAATACACAAAAAATTAGAGGTGCATAATGTTTCAAGTTTTCCTGACCATTAATGCATTCACAGAATCCAAGGTTTGTTTCTTGACCTTGCAATGAATACTGAAAATCACTTTAACATCTGTAAACACTAAGTGTTAAGAAATACAACTTTATACAAAATTTTCTAAAATGTTAATAAACAGTTGGTTTCACTCTCGTGGGATCTAGACCTTATTGTTCAGGTTATGCCTGAAAACTTTACAAAAATTCTTTGGTTTTGGTAAGAGAGTTCAAGTTAAGTTGAGTATTATAGGTGATAACTCCAGAGGATGTGTTGACAACTACTGACCCTTCATGTGGACACCAGCTACTTTGCAGGATGCAGGAAATCCTTTAGTGTTTTTTTTTATCAAAGACCTTCTGGCTGTATAATGTCCTACTGATTCTCCATCTTTTGCTTTTCCTAGCTACACCACGTGGTACTCTGTTTTCTATCATTCCTTCCCTCTGAATTTAGATCAAGACCTTCCATGGTTGCCACTTTCACCTTACTAGTACAGATAAGGATGATATCCTGCAAGTAAAGTTGTGCTAGATTTAATAGAGAGGCTTCTTTTGCAAGCTTAACTCCTGATTGAGAGTGAAAGCTGGTTTAAGAGAACTCTACCAGTGAACATGGAGGACCACAAATAGCCAGAGTGTTCTTTGACATTCTAATTTAAAAGTTTGGTTATGAAATACAATTTAATGTGTAAGCTAAGTATTTTATTTTTATATAAATATTTTTTGCTTTTGAACTATCAGGACTCAGCTTCAATTTCAGGTGCCAGGATTGTATTCTGGTGTGCTCCAGCAGTACTACACATCTGCCTACCTACATTTGTGCATAGCTTATCTAACCAATAGTGTCATAATGTTATGTTTAACCCTAATAGAATAAATATTCTTGAAAAGGTAACTCAAAAATGACTTCTAGCAAGCTTTCAAGAGTTTACGATTATCAAGTTTCTCTCTAATTGCAATATACACACACACCAGTAACAAATCAAGGTTTTTTCTGAAAATCTGAGCACCACAGGCATGGTTTTTGTTTGTTTGTTTGTCATTAAGCACAAAGTTTCACAATGAGCTATCTGTGCAGTGCCCACCACATGTACTGAAACCTGTTTTTACTGTTATAAGCATTCAAGCTTATCAATGAGCCAATATGGAGCCCACAGGCATGGAATGGGTGGTTTTATCACTTTTAATTTCCCTAGAAGATGACTGAAAGCAACAACTTTTGGTTGATCTAGTTTCTAAAAATGTTTATTAACCACATACTAAAGAAATCCACCTTAATCATGGAGTACAATATGAGGTCTCCCTTCTCACCTCTGAGCACATACAGTGTAATACAAATACATCTCCCTCAACCAATAACACCACATCATACTCACAAAATCAGATACATTATGTAAGAATACCCCATTTTTTATGCTCAACCAAGAGTATTCCGGAAATACATGGTCAGAAGTGACTGAGTCAAAATTTACATAACCATTTTAAAGTGCACAACTCATTTATAAACATATGAATAAAAAATAATAATTGCAGCCATTTTATTTACAATTTTAGCTCTTATACGTAAAATAATCATACAATACAATTAATTCCCCATGGGAGTTTGACAAACTCTTTCTGCATCTGCTACTGCATAAATACACTCACACAGTGATGCAAAAGTCTTGCATCATCATCATATTTGTAAGTTCTGACCTACTACAATTTTTCAAAGTTATGACTGTGTTTTTACTAACTACCTTTTTTTTAGAATTTATTAGAATGTCATTAAACTTGTAAGAATATGATCAAAATGGTCTGCCTATGTTGGAGTTTCTGGATTGAGTCATCCTGCTATTGTATTTGCTTCAAATTGTTGTTGAATATTAGTCAAAATGTTAACTTTCAATAGAGTTACATACAAAAAATATATCTGCTACAAAATAAATAGCACATAATAACTCCAGAGTTACACATATTCTTATTCACCCCCTCATAAATTACAAGGATGTGGAAGAAACTCTTTCATACTCATAAAATACTAGTCAGTGACCACTGCTGCAAAAGAGGGGGCTGTAAAATTCCACCAAAATGCTTAAGAATAATGTTTATATTCAAGCTACTAAATAAAAAGGATCAAAACCATTTGACAAGAATAAGAAGTCAGAGGTTAAATAAGATGCCATATATACAACTCACAGGTGAGGATAACTGTCATCAAACCAAAGAATGTAGAAACTGGTAAAACATATCTACTCTTAAAAAAAATGCTTGCTATTTCCAAAAGCTAAAACTTAATATTATAAGCCACAAAAGATTACAAAACTGAAAAAAAAAAAAGTTCAAAAGATTTAAAGTATGTCAAAAAGATAAGCAGGAGTACAATGATCAGAAAATATAGCTTCATATATTATAAAAATATATCAGTAGTAATTTAACAAGTGAAGTGACACAATATGGAGTTCAGAAGTAGAGTACAAAACAAAAACAATTTTACTTTTCAAAAATCTACACAAGAAATTATAATAAAAAAGGTATTTCTTGGGCAAATGGAAACAATGTACAATGCTAGTACAACTTTATTTCATATGGAAAAGTACATTTAAAAGTAGCTTGTAAATTAACACTAACATGCAGGTTATTCTTAGAGCTTCATAGCTCTACCACCAGAAAATAAACAAAATAACCAAAACTGAAGTTGTACTAAATATTCTTCTCAAATACTAATGTGTATAAATATATACACACATCCAGCAAAAAACACAAATAACATTTACTGATTATTTATAATGTATACTCATCAATCTTTATTAGAAAAAAATTACATGTTTATACATATGATGCTAATATCTTAATTCATAAAGTTAGTTAGAATTTTTCACCTTAAAAATTTATGCAAGTTCTAGTACTTTCATTTGAAAATAGTGATGCCAATCAAAAAACATAATAGCATTTAATATAATTTTTACTATAGAAATTAGAAGTGATATGAGAATTATGAAACTTCCATGAGTCGTGAAAAAAAAAGAAGCATTTTTCATCTTCCTTAATGTCAAGTTTTAATTTTTTGTTGTTAAGCTCAAAGTACACAATGGGCTATTCCTGTTCGCCCCATTGCCGGCATCAAAACCCGATTTCTGAAGGTATAACTTAAGTCTAACTTACTGCTGACCTACAGAGGGGCAAAAACTTTAAGAGTTGATAGTGTTGCATTATCAACTGTCACAAATTACTATATTCCAATTTAACGTCAATCTCAAAATTATACAAGTTATAATTTATATACATATTGCACAGTTTTTTTTAACATTTCAATTTTCCTTCTGTCGTTACAGTTGTTACTTAGGCAGTCTAGTAAGCTAATAATTGAATTTACTACGAGTATGACACTGATGGTACGAGTATGAAAGGCAGAACCACTGTAAGTGTAACACAATTAACTGTGGTACTTAAAGTTAAAAGTATATTAATATTGTATAACTTAATATACAATAAAGCAGCATATTTTATCATCTGGAAATTAATGTTACAAAACTTACACTTATTTCTTGTTGATATGCTAGTATTAGCGCTTAGCAACTGCTTACGAAGATGGACCTTTACAGTATGAGAGTAATAGTACTAGTAGTAGTAGTAGTTGTGAAGTGCAAGTAGGACGTGTAATACTGAATCCCCCGTACAACAGAACTTAAAATACATTCTTACTGATAGTACATATCAAACTATATAACCATCGTTGGACATTTTAAAGATGCCTTCGCCTAACAATAACTTTATAAAATATAAATAAGTTGATCTTTTAAAGACGTTTAAAAATCACATGAAAACAACATATTTCTATCCACTTCTGTCCTAAACATTTAACACAACCTTACCTTTCAAACGGAATAAAGCGACTGAATGCCTTGAGCTAAAAATGGTGAATGAGTAACTCACCTCTCCACAACAGAAACAGGATTGGAAGATTCTTGTCACGTGCTTCTTGAAAGAAATAATCACATACACTTTTTTATGTTATAGTGGTGTTTATTCACCCAGGGCTTGCTACGAATGCATTACTAATCTCAGTTTTAAACTGCTATGTACGAATAGTTAAGGTTATAATGCAAAATTAATTTGTTGCGAACATTTATTTCATTTTCACTATACTATTACAGAATCTCGACAAAATATATAAGTATTGCATTTTAAGCACTCACACAGACCTAATCTTTGGCATTCACCAAGCTTGCTACGTGAGACCCAGCTGACACGTTCCTGGTACCATTGCAGGGATAATGACATCATTGATAAAGCAGCCAATCGGAGAGCTTTATTTCTTTATCAGGGAGAGTTTTCTTCGGATTATGAATACCAGGGCGCTTGAGTACTCGCTCGTGCTTGCGTGTTCGGAATTGTGGTGTGATATACTTTACCTACAAAGAAACACTATAGAAGATTTAGAAATTTACACTAAGAAGAAACATTATACGTGCACTCTATTTATTGAAATTAATAAACTACAGTCAACAACATACATGATTCTCAATCATAATAAACTGTGTATAATATAAAACATTATAATCTCAATAGACAAAAAAGTTTAAAAATGGAGGCGTATTTTTATTACCCCCATTTCACAACAAATGCGGGTCCGTTGGCCCTGTAATAGAGCTCAGGATTTTGAAGCTGGCGTGCCAGGTTCGAATCAGTGTGATATCAAAAAAAATTTCACGTACTTTAAGGTGTGGATGCATTATAATAGTGACAGTCAATTCCTTGGCGTAAATTATAGGTAGTAGGATGTCGCTGACTGGCTACCTTCCCTATAGTCAGTAGTTCAAAATTAGAGATGACGTTACATAGCCGTAGTAGCTTTGCCATGAATAGTAAATACAAATACACAACAAAACCATTGACCTCTTCCCACATCAAGTATATTTGATTTCAGTTATACTAAATAACTACTGAAGAAAGATAGTTTAGGCACACAATTGATATTAGCATGATCACACCATTAAATAATATTGAAAATACTGATAATAAAAACAGAACATAAAAACTAACATGCATTATGTAATTACATATAAGGTTATTCAAGACAAAGCATTTTTCAAAAGTAATATCTATAGTCTGCGGAATTTCTCTATTGTATCATAGTAATTTTACTGCTAACGTTAAAAATATTTCAATATTCTTTTAAAGAATTTTTAATTTGGTTTTGATTTTAAACGTTAATAATAAGATAATTTTTTAACCTGGATTTTTTTAATTATTCAAAAATATATAATGAAAAAAAATTATATTGGAAAAACAAAATCTGTGCTCTGCCCACCATGGGTATAGAAACTCGGTTTCTAGCGTTGTAAGTCCGCAGACATGCCGCTGTGCCACTGGAGAGGTCTTTATTCTGCCCACCACGGGGATCGAAACCAGGATTCTAGCGTTGTAAGTCCGCAGACATGCCGCTGTGCCACTGGAGAGGTCTTTATTCTGCCCACCACGGGTATCGAAACCAGGATTCTTGCGTTGTAACTCCGCAGACGTACCACTGTGGGGCATATAAATTTTAAATGTAAATATATTACTTTACCCGTTTTCTGGTTTTTATTCTGACATATAGCTTGTGATGCTACGAAACCGGTTAAATAAAGAAGAACTTGGTAAATAAAGAAAAATTTGGCAAAAAGAAAGGATTAGAGGTTTCTTATATATATATATATACTGGGAAGAAAACTCATTTTGCGTAGAAACTTTTTTTTTTTTAGTTGTGCTATTTTGTATTTGAATACTCAAAGTTTATGAAATGAAAAACAGTGCTGTGTATATTTGAAGGAATTAAGACAGTTAAATGACCTGCCTAGACTACTCGCGTAAGAGATTAGGTACATAGAGTTCTGAACAAATATGATGACCGTGGGGGGCGTCTCAATGACCACGAGATTAAACTTAAGTGGGTTAAACCTATTCCATAATACGTTATACCCAACAAGCACCTCTAGTACAAAATACATTTTGATCAAAAATGACAAACCGATCGAATTATCTGGTAAAAGACATCAGGTCTAACGACTCTTTCAAACCCCGGGTATCGGGGTCAAGTACCCTAAATGTCTATAAACAAATAAATAAATTCATATACAAAACTTTAACACATAAACGCTGCTGTTAGAGACGAGGCTCTGAGGGATGAGAGATCCATTTCCCAAACACCTTTCCTTTTGCAATGCATAGTAGTATCTACTCCTAATTTCATTTTTGCAGAAGTTTAAAGAGCTTTCCACGCACATATGGTGACGTCGTCCGTACTTTCCTATTCCTAATTTCATTTTTGCATAATTTGATAAAGTTTGAAAAAGCTTTCTACATGCGCGCACACACACAGTTACTTTTTAATTATATATATATATTACAAAATACACACTATTACTCTCCATCATAGATGTGACTTAATGTTGCTGTTCACTTGTTAAATGTTATGCCAACTTACTTTAACCGTTGCTCTTGGAATATTGATTCGAAGACTACTGAAAGCCTGATAGTATTTTTTTAAAAGTCAATCCCAAACACAGGGCAATTTTTGGTACGTTCATAGAGTTATCTGAATTGATTAAATATATTTAACATAGGGATCAAAAATATAAATTTCATGAAAAATACATATATATTTAAATATTAAAGAAATGCGTTAAATATAATACTTAGATGACAAATGAGATAGTACTGAACGAATGAAACAAAAAAAAATAAAAGTGATATATTTGAAACTATATGTAGAAAGGAAATATTTACAAGCTTGAGATAAACTTGATAGAAATGAATTATTTTAAACACCAATTAATTATCACTTAGCAAGACGTAATATAAAAATAAGTTATGTTTTTCACTGAAAAGATACAGAAGTTAATATAATAAAGCAGGACTAGTATATACATATTTCTAACTGTTGCTTAAATTCGTGACCATTTAAGGATTCCATTTACTTTCGTACGTGTTGTATTCAATTGTTTCAAATCCGTGTGAAACATAATGAAATCTACTATCTAATAAGAAACATTTCCAGTACGAATTGATTTAACTTTATTGAAATCTATATTAAAAATTCGGAATCATCACAAACGTCACGCATAAAAAAATATTAGAGATATCCTATACTTCAAAGATTTTCATGTGTTTAACATATAGGACACAACATTATAAAATGTGGATGATGTGTGACTGTATTTACACAATTTAAGCCCAATTCTCTTTTAATATTTCTTTTATTTATCTCTAGATCCCACCTATTACTTCAGCACAAATATACAAGATACTTTTCTTTTTTTAATAGTTTGTTCCCACGATGTTTACTTTAATGATTAAGCACACTTTGGTGATGCTTTATATTCGTAAGGGGAATTGTAGGCGGATTTACAAATGCCGCGTTTCATTATCACAGACTTTCTTACATCTTTAATGTTTAATGATTCTTTTTCCAGGTATAATGGCAAAAATCAGTGTACTCCCTTAATTTACTTTCTTCTTTACTAATCTGAGCTTTACGAATGAATAGATTGCTTCTTTTTTTTTGGTGAACATTTTTAGTATTTTAAACCCCTTTGGAGATAGAAAATTATAAGATCAAATATTTTATATTTAAGGGCTTTTGTTAATCATTAAAAGAAGCTTACACGTGTACTGACTGTAAGGGTGTGGGTGTTAATGTCACTGCTTCGGGTAACAGATATCTTTTAAATTAACGTATTCAATGATCACCCCATCGCGTTTCTCATAAAGAAGAACTTGAAGGCTTTGGTTAAAAATAAATAACAAACTTAAATGTTTATACGAGTTACATTGAATTTCGAAGAAAAATAATCAGGTTGAAAAGTAACGTAATAATCCTTCACAGGAACTGTTTGTAAAAAAAAAACAACAAAAAAAAACAATTTTTCATTTGCTTACTTTATAGTCATTATTTGGTCTTTGTTTAATTCATTTGATTGTAGTACTTTCTTATTACACTTCACCAATAATTATCAAAAGCTAATGTCCCAAGTTTTGAATCAAGTGATGAATTACTTTTATGAAAGTCAGTGTATAACTTGATTGTTAATATAACTTGTCAAATAAACCTTTCAATCAACATTAATTAAAATATATTAAATTCAAGTTACACCAATAAACAAACTTGAATAAGCTATTAATCCAATGCGCTGAGAATCGTTGTTTCTACTCGAAGTCGTCAAACTGGATTTCTAAGGTAAAGCTCTTCTGATTTCACATTGAGCACATTCAAATAAAACCAGCAACATTGGGCAATAATTTTCTAATCGAATCATACGGAGCATTAATTTAGCTTGAATAAAAAATAAGAGAAAGAACAAATGAAATTAAGGCAGGGATTTTAATCAATGCTGCTCTTTTTAAATGCATAATTGTACATTCTTCATTTGTCTTTTCTGGGACATATTTAGAATTACATAGCGACACAAAGGTTAAATGACAGATAACTATTTGACAGATTGTTTAGGCAGAGTATTCATGATGAAACTTAGTTTAATGGACGGCAACTGCCTGTTGTACAAACACAAGAGCAGTTTGTTTGTTTTAAGTTATGCACAAAGCTACACAGTGGGCTATCTGTGCTCTGCCCACCATGGGTATCGAAACCCGGTTTCTAGCGTTGTAAGTCCGCAGACATACCGCTGTGCCACTGGGGGTGTCACAAGAGTAGAGAACGACGTTTCGAAAGACGAAAGGCAGAAGACTTTCGAAACGTCGTCCTCTACACTTGTGTTTCTAAGACAGACAGTTGCCGTCCATTCAACTAAGTTTCCACAGATAATTCATTATACCGTAGACTTTACGAATGAAATCAAAGAAACGGAGAGTAAAAGAGAAAATTAAAGTTGCTTATAAACTACGAAAATTTACGCATCAAAGTCATGTTTGTTTATACAGAGTAATGCATCAAAACTCCAAGGAATAATCTCTTCCATATCGAAACAAAAACTATCCAATGATAGAGTTTACAGTATCTATCTTACAAAAAATAACCTACTCAAAACATCTAAATATTTATATTTTTAGAAAACTCTTGACTAAATCGAAAAGAAAGTGTTTCTTTAAAGAAAAATTGTAATTAAAATTCTTATTATTATTAGCACAAAAGAAGAAGAAATAGAGCACTTTCTTCCTTGAGGAAGATCTAGATTCCCAACTGTTAGGTTTCTCCTAGGCGTATTTGGTTTATACATTTTTTAGGTATCATGAAGTCATTATAATTGCCAT